TCGAGCTTTTTATTATGATCAATCATGTTTTATAATGAATCGATCTCAAGAATTTCGAGTTCATTTGAGTTGTAGAAGACGGAATTCAGTCTGAAAAACAATCACATTAGACTTTAATCGTACTAAAACATATAAATGTTTTGCAGATTGTGTTTTTTAAGAGAAATTTTCTGATCTTTTTCATTCTGTGTGTTCAATTACTCTCTAGTAATCGAGTGAGCAAAACGAAATCATTGCTCACTGAAAGTGTTTTCTAAATCAGTGGTCAGTGAATTGTTGTAAAGCGGTGGCGAAATGCCATAGGGCCGGCAGTTTTATCTGTTTCCTGGTGATCCTTGCTTTTCGAATATTTTATGTCTTTATTTGATGTCACGAAAATGAACTAGTGATTCTAACGTATATTCTGACCGAAACATATGGAGCCTGTATATGTCGGTAAACAACCGTATTTTGTCGGTTTCCATAACTTAATATTAACATCGTATATCTTCGTGACCATGATGGAATAATGTGAAACTAACGAAAATCATCTACGAAGACAGAAAGGAAACGTTTTTTTTTTCATAAATCGTCGCATTTCTTTGTATACATCACAGAGACATACAATCATCTTACTCGGCCGCGTAAATCACCGTATCTCTTCGAGCAAGATAATTCACAACCGTGTTTGTTTAACATGAATGCTTGGAAGTTTCCTAAAAAACATTGTCTCTCAAAGTCTTCTGGCCAAGGCAAGACATTGATAGATTGAATTTCTAACTAACGATAACTCTCTTTTCTGAATAATGTCAAGATGTATCGAAAGTTTGAAAAATAATCATCATCAGCACAGTCTCACTAATATTTACTGTCATGTGTAATAGATTTTCATTAGTTATCGAACTTTTCAATTCAGAACAAAAAAACGAACTATTTATGGAAATACTTTTCAATCATCTATCTATCTTTTATTTTAATTACATCTTATATGAACACATTCCATATAAAATCCTGCATCAACCATTTTTTGTAACTTACATTTAATGTTTCAATAACTTCAATAGTACTTCTGGAACGTTCATATTCATCTCCACTAGTAGATTTCACATTCTCTTCTCTCTCAGATGTCTGGTAACGTTGTTCATTATTACCTCGTTCTATTTAAAAAAAACTCTTCATCTATCATCATCATCATCACATCGTCCTACCTGCAATTTCTCGTTCAGTTCTTGCTTCCAATAATACTACAAAATAAAATCTCTTTCCAAGGAACAACAAAACAATATTTTAAACATACATAAATGTTCCAGAGCTAAATGATCACTAAAGAAAATCTCAATAAAATTCTATTAAACAACAAAATAAAAAACACAACTTACTAAATATCTGGATGTTTACACATAATACGAAAAGCAACGAAATAAATTAACAGAAATAAACCAATTGTGGCAAATATTGTAATATAAAGAAAATTATCTAAAAAGATTTTATTGAAATTAGATGAAAATAATCTTTTATTTCATACAATTTGCTGGCAGATAAAATATAACTGTTGCATTTTTACGTCGTTGAACATCAACAATACCTGTCAGTTGAATAATTATTTGTTCTTGATCATTCAAATGCTCTGCATCAGTTGGTTTAACAAGAAAAACTAAAAGAAATGTATTTCATTTTGGAAATTCACTCTCCTAAATAAAGAAAAATGATTCATGCAAAAAGAAAAATTCATTTTCTTTTAATTTACATAAACATTAAATGAAGCAATAGATGGCATTATTTGATAATGTCCTTGTCGTACTCCAATTTCACTCACATCATAAACGGGACAATTAAAGGATTGTACATATACAATAGTACATAATTGATCATTTGACCGAACCTCAATAAAAACATGTTCAATATCAGGTGGAAAAGTAAATTTATAACAAATTGATATAGAAGGTGAAACAAAAAATTGTCGACTAACACCCGTTCTAGATTTTAAGCATGAAAAAAATTAGTTAAATAAAAGATTTTTTTTTGTTATCCACTTACTCAAGTAAAAATTGAGTGATATTTTCCAATTGAAATGAATAATTAATCAAAATTACTCTAAGTGGCAAATCTATTGTGATGGGGACCCCAAAAGAAAAAAGAACTCCACATCGATACAAACGTCAACGAAGCCCAATCAATATCTCAATGGCCAAGACTTGACAGGAGAGAAACTTAGGGCTGATCTTCGAACAATGCATTACTCGTCAGAAGAACATAAAAAATAAACAATAATAGAAAATTTTTATATTGAATCGAGCCTGCTCAAGCCTTAATCTGCCCTCATTTGAGCCTACCCAAGCCTTAATCTATCCTGTTTTGAGCCTACCTTTCGGAAACCTGAAGCAGGCTCAAAACTACCCAAGTCTAATAGCATCGCCGCCTATACATCCGTAACGATATCTGAATGAAGCTAATTTATGAAAAAGAATAACGCTCACAAACTTTTTATGAGTTTTTTCGCGGAAAAACCATACTGCACTAGGCATACCAACATCTAAATGAAAATAATTTACAGAAAGCGAGTGATGCTCATAAAGTTTTATAGGTTCTTCCTTAGAAAAATATATAACAAATATTTCCATCAACTGGAATAGTCGTGCACATACATATTTCAATGAAAATAATTTCTCAAAAATGGATTATCCTTATAAACTTTTAATGCGTTGTTTATTCAAAGAACATGTGAGAAAATTTTCTATCAATTGGAATAGCCCTACCTATATGTCAATGAAAATGACACATTCAAATGAAGTATGCTCGTAAATTTTAAAGGGGTTTTTCCGTGGAACAACACGCTAGAAATTTTTCTTTCAAGTGAAATAATTCACCCGATATATGAATGAAAATAATTCGTCAAAATAAATTATATTCATAAACTTTTCATGCTTTTTTTTTCAGAAAGCATACTACAAACTTTTCTCTCAACTGGAATAGGCGTACCTATATCTCAATGAAAATAATTCATGAAAATAAATTATTCTCATGAACTTTTCATGGATTTCTTCTACCACAAATATATCAGAAATTTCTTTTTTCAATTCGAATAGCCGTACCCCTTTGTGAAGGAAAATAATTCATCAAAATGAGATATGCCCAAGGGGGAAACAGCTGATTCTTTTGATTTAAATCAGAAAAAAAATTTAAAAAAAATCAGAAAAATCAAATGTAACCAATAAATTTTTCATTTCTATTGTTCAAAATCAAAATTTAATAATAATAACAGTTCTTGTTTCTAATGGAATTGTTATCGATTTGTTGTTGATCAATTTGATAAACATACAAACCAAATAAATCTATTATTGTTATTTATTTTAAATTTTCAATTAAAAAAAAAACGATTATTATAATAGAAATTGTTCATATTGTTATATTTAATCGATAAATAATTTAAATGAATCAATACGTATTGGTTAAATTAAATCAATTAATTCATTTAATTAATATTTTTCATGTATATTCATCGGTGACTGTCGAACCATTTAACATTTTTAATTATAACACAATATAATAACGATTGTTGATTATTTTTAATAGTACCACATTTTTTTTTTGAATGAAGACAATTTTTAAATAGATAATGAAAATGTTGAATAGCTGATTTATAATTATGTTTGAGTAAAATATGTGTTACTAATAAAATAACGATATGTGAAGAGATACAGATGAAAATCGATGTTATTGTTGAGTATATTCTTCTTGTATATATTCTTGTATTGGATGATCACCTAGAAAACGCGAAACAGAAATCGTTTTATTCTTAAGAAGATTAATAATTAGACAAAAAAAAACAAAATGAGGAAATAGACAATTCTAATAAGGTTTATTCTCAATTCGTTTGTTGACTAGAAATATAGACAAAAAACATTTTCATAGACTAGCTTGTTGGTTAGTAAAGTGGTCTCAATTTATATCATATATTCTTCTCAATTGTCTTCTCAGCATATACTCTCAAGTCGATTGAGAAACGATACATAACAGAAAAGGAGGCCGTCATAGAAAATAAACAAGCGAAATCTCTACTTATTTTTTTCTAGAGACTTTGATTAGAATTATAAATTAAAATAACATTATTACGAATAATGTAGAATCGATGAAATAACTTTTTTAATTTGTTTGATTTCTTTTTTTCAATAATAAACAATTCTCACAAAGAAGGATAACATATGTATGGATTAGACACTCTATTTACCTTACCCAAATAAACTAAAAAGAACATAATAGATAACGTTAGGAACTCGGTTTTTTTTTCTTTCTTAGCACATATTGCAGATAGAAACATTATCCAAGGACATTATTTTAGAAATAATATTAATATAATATTTTATTTAAATAAATCAAATACAAAATATACTTTTGATCGATCAAGTCGTTCTTCTCATGCTCGAAATACATCTGTACCTGAATCATCATGTTTTTCATTATAACTTTGTAAATTATATTTATCAATTTTTGTATATAAATTCCATTGACCAACATTGGTTTCATCAACATGTTGGCATGTATGTGAACATGAATGTTGCATAATTTATCTGAATACAATAAAGAAAAATAATTCCTTTTTTTTTTCTTGTTATATTTTCTATGGAACGATTTATTTTATATCATCAAGAAAAGAAATTACATAATGCACAAATGAACAAAAACACAACAACAACATTATTCTATGTACGTCCTTTATGTTTTTTTTTGATGAAGTAACATACTACTTTCATCTCGTCGTCGTTTAGTCATTGGATTTCTTGGATCATAAACAGTTAATAATTCAGCATTTGTATAAATATCTTGAACATTATCTAATAATTCTTGAGATACAAAAGTATGTTTTAAAAATGGTGTTTGAACTTATCAATACTTCGTCTATATTTAAATAAAAGTCTATGTCAAATTATCATATGATGCAGATTTTCGAAAACAAAACAGATAGCTCATGTGAATGCAAACATACATTAAAATGCTACTATATAAATCGAAATGTTTTAAAAAAAGTACAAAGACTCTTTTAGCTATTTCGAATGAACAATTTTCTTTTTTCTCAATTATACCTTATTCAGTGAAAAAGTGTCTTGATTTCAATTGATTGAAGTTATAGCAAAACCTTACCGATTGACTTTTCAGGAGTCTTATAATTTATGGCAACTCACCACACGTAGACTTGTTGATTTGAATGATACTAAAAAATATGTCAGCTGTCGAAATATCTTCTGTCACTTGTACGAATGTATACATTGCAGTTGAGTTACAGTTAACGGGATCAAATACTGTTGCCAAACTGTATACATATTGGTTTATATCAAAATAGGGAATGCTACATGATTTGTATTGCTGTACGGAGCTGGGATAATTTCATAAGACTTTAACTTATTGATTGCCACAATAATAAAATGATCGTTGCTGGAAAGGCGCACACCATGAGCACCATCATCATCCATTTCATATTGGTATTGACAATCAACAAGCTCGAACAATGACAACATCATCCAAACAATAGTAATTATAAATTGTATCATACAAAATTAATCTAAACAATTGAACATATTGTCATGTGACAAAAAAATAATGATGATCTTTGTTTCACTTGTATTAGTCATTCGTTTTTATGCAGATATTCTAATCGATTATGACTAACTGTTGAAGAGAAATGATCATTGCGTTTTCATGACATATATCAACGATAAAACCGGTTGTTAATTATATTCTATCGATTTGATATATTTATAATGATGTATTGAACGCTTCGCTTGAACCTCTTCTCAGTCAATCATTTCTTGTAATATATCAGAAGATGTTACAAGATTTCGATTTCAAATAGTTCAACATTCAATTTGATTCAATAAGATTTCCACACCAAAAATTAAGAAAAGTAGTTTTTTGCATATTTTATCTCGGTTTTTTTT